TGCCAGGTCCCCATGGTTACACCTAAATGCCTCTAGGAGTGGGGCTGCGGAGCTGCAGACAGCTGCCCTCCATTTGGGGCCTGGGAGGCTGATGAACCCCCCACAGGTAGGCTGGTAGAGGGTGGTGTAATGAGGAGGGTGTGGAGGACCATAAGGACTAGTTTTATTAACCACTTACTGTGAGCCAGACACTTAATCTCACAACTTCTGCCCCGCCCTCCACCCTTCCCCTCACTCTAGTTTATTTCTCAGAACAGAAGCTGAGGCCCAGATAAGTTAAGGGACTTGTCTCATTTCACAGATGAGGAAACTGAGGTACAGAGAGACTAGATGACTTAACCATGATCACAGAGCTGGCAAGTGAGAAGACTTGAAAAAATGATGTCAGACTTCATAAGACAAAAGGAAAAGAGAAAAGGCCACTGGTGGGGGAGGATGGAGGAGCGGGGCCATCCCGTTCCACATTTTGACTTGTCGTTTGTGTTTCATTCATATTCACCATCCAAAGACTTCTCTGAGACGCCTTCCCTGACTCCCTCCCCTCCTCCAACTCCATCCTGCAAACTGACAGCCTAAAACCAATTTTGTGATTAACACTAAAAAGTTGAGCAGTTTCACACTTTAAAAATCTAGGTTTCTAACCTCTCTTAAAAACGTGGGCGCTTTGGTAGTCCTGGGCCAGCACTGCCCCATGGCAAGGATGGAGTGCAAGGGGAAGGGTCTATAAAGGAGGCTGGAGCCCCTTACTCCTAGACCTATTTGAACTCAGCCCCTTCTCAAACTCTATTCCACCCATACTGTCCTCTTGGCTGTTGCTCAGACATATCCAGCTTCTTCTTACTGAAGGACACAGGCCCTGTCCTATACTCAGACTGTTCTTCTTGGAGCCCTCCTTCCCTGGTCTCTGTCAACTGTCCCCCTATGGAGCACCCAACCCAAAAGAGCAGCGTGCACCAACCCCCCATCAGGGGTTGAATTGTGTCCCCTAGAATAAGATATATTGAAGCCCTAACCCCCAGTACCTGTGATGTTACCTTATTTGGAAATGGGTCTTTGCTGATGTAATCAGGTTAACATAAAGTCATTGGGGTGCCCCTAATCCAGTACTGGTGTCCTTACAAAGAGAGGGAAATTCAGACATAGCCACACAGGGAGCAGGCCATGTAGAAGCAGGTGATGATGCTTCCACAAGCCAGGGAAGGCCAACAGTTGCCGTCTATCACCAGAAGCTAGCAGAGGCCAGGAAGGATTCTTCCTTAGAGGAACGGCAGTTTCTGAGCCAGGTGTCCACCTGAGTCTAACCATCAGTAGCAAGTAGGTGGAGTAAACTGGTACAAACATGACCATGTGGGGCCACCACTTCAGAAAGCACATTAAGGGGGTAATTCCAAAGTAGGGGCAAGTCACCCAAAACAGGAAGGAAGGGAGAGAAATACATGAAATGGTGATGGTGTGCCCCAAAGCACCAATGACTAAATCCCAGGACGCATTCAGGTCTTTACTGAGCACCTACTCTGTGAATGCACCAGAGTTTAAACTCTCAATAGGTTCAGCTAGTCTACTTAACCCACATGGAGACTATGAGTTGATAAGGCATATCCCTTACAGGAATTGAGAGCCCTGATTACATTCAAAACAAGTTCAAACGTCCTTGGCCCAGGGAAGCTAGCACCCAAAATAGCACTAACAGACCTGAAACAAACTTTATCTCCACGAATGTAGTTCTTGTTATACCGCTTCCTTCTCAAGTGTTCTACTGCAAGCTTCTGCAGGAAGATCCTGAGGACCCTGACAACAATGATGA